AAACTATGGATTGGATTCTCCCTAATATTTGATCTTCACCTGAGGATATGTTTTAATTGACTTGAGAGAGAGAGAGAAAGGAGGAGGGGTCTAGAGAGAAAAACATCAATCAATTGCCCCCTATACTCACTCTCCTGGGAATCAAACCTTTGACCCTTCGGTGCACAGAATGATAATCCAACCAACTGAGCCACACCAGCCAGGGCTGCCTAATAGTTAGATGTATATCTGGATTACTTTTATCTCCAAATAAATACACTCTCAAGGGATGCAAACAAAATTGAATTAAGTAAACATAATTAGGAAGATAAATTTATGCTTAGGAAATGCCTCCCAAAGCAAAATATTGGTTTGAGTCACTGTTTTCCTCAATTTTTGCACATAACCCCAAATGTCTTACTATGTTACAGTCAATAAAGCTAGAAAATAATAAATTATATAACTTACAATATATAGAGAAAAGATAACTAAATTATCTCAAACCCAAGGCACAGAAAAAAAGTACTAATGACATTTAGTACTTTAAAAGTGGTTTTATATCTTAAAAGGGCTAAAGAAACAAGTTCTCAAGAAAATTTCAGGCCTATTTACCAAGTTCTGATTGATTTGAAATGTCAAGAAAACAACAAATTTAGAAGGCCCCCATTACTATAAAATGTATTTTAAGTATATTTTGCAGAGTAGTTAAAAGACCAGTTAGGGCTAAGTTAGTAACATACAACTTATCTATCAGTCTACATCTTTTTTCAAACTATAATAATATAAACACACGTTTCATAATATTTCCTCTACATTGTTTGTCACAAGTATCCTGTTGTGTCCATATTTTGGATACATTTTCATCATCCATATTCATCACATCAATTGACCATAATGCACAGTGAGTAGAAGTGATCTTTTTATATGAAAAATTGATATATGCTATTCTCTGTAAACCAAAAGCTGATCATGATTACATTTAATTCCTATAAAATGTAGCTGCATGCTCATCAGAACACCTTTAAAATTTTTTTTCATTGATTTCAGAAATGAAGGGAGAGAGAGGGAGAAACATCAGTGATGAGAGAGAATCATTAATCGGCTGCCTCCTGCACACCCCTTACTAGAGATCGGGCCCGCAACCCAGGCATGTGCCCTAACTGGGACCCAAACCGTGACCTCATGGTTCACAGGTCCACGCTCAACCACTGAGCCACCGCAGCCAGGCTTCATTAGAACATCTTAGCTCACGTTTAGACTATGAGACATCGGTGTGATTTACTTTGACTGATCTAAGATAAAAATGCTATCTTTTTATTTAGTCTGACTAAATACCATTTTGTCAAAACTTATGTTCTAGCACTCTATGGACTGTAAAACTGAAAACACTCCAAAACATGATGGCTAATATTGGTGTCGCTACAACTGTGCTTTTTCTCTCCATTATCACTGTGACACTGCCTCACCTTCAGCAAGGGAGGAAGGGGAGTGGTCTGAAGAATACCCAATAAGGGAGCAGGATGTTTCCTGTATTAAAAATTTCCATCTAGGCCAAAACCGGATTAGCTCAATGGATAGAGCATCGGCCTGCGACTGAAAGGTCCCAGGTTTGATTCCGGTCAAGGGCATGTACCTTGGTTGGGGGCATATCCCCAGTAGTGGGTGTGCAAAAGGCAGCTGGTCGATGATTCTCTCTCATCGATGTTCCTAACTCTCCATCCCTCTCTCTTCCTCTGAATAAAATATATATTTTTTAAAAATCCCATCTAAAAACTTTATAAAAGTCCTGGCCGACTTGCTCAGTAGTTAGAGCATCAGCCTGCACACTAAAGGTCCGAGGGTTCAGTTCCTGGTCAAGGGCAATATCTCGGTTGCAGGCTGCATCCCCAGCCCAGTAAGGGTGCCTCTGGGAGGTAACCGGTTGATGTGCTTCTCTCGCATCAATGTTTTTTCTTTCTCTCTCCCCCTTCACCTTTCTTCTAGACTATCTAAAAGCAATGAAAAAATATCCTTGGGTGAGGATTGAAAAAAAAAAAAAATTCATAAAAGCCCTGGCTGGTGTGGCTCAGTTGGTTGGGCATCGTCTCTGCACAAAAGGTCACCAGTTTGATTCCCTGGTTTCGGGCTCCAGGTGGGGGCATGCATGCAGGAGGGAGCCAACCATCTTTCACTCTGACATTGATGTTTCTCTCTCCCTCTCCCTTCCTATCAATAAAAATGTCTTTTTTTAAAATAAAAATAAAAACTTTGTAAAAATTTATACCAAAATACATTGGTGTTCCCATGTAAAAATGCTGTCTCCCAAACCTTTGAGTAAATCTAAGTCCAGAAAAAGGAGCATTTTCATCTGTAGATTCCCTAGCTCCAGGAGAGCTCCACAACCCCTTGGTTGATAAGCAGATCATTAGCGTTTACTTCTGATTACAGAGTTCTAAATGTTGTTTTACAAATTATATAAGGGGCTTTTTAAAAAGTTAGGGGTGGCCCTGGCTGTTTTGGCTCAGTGGATAGAGCGTCAGCCTGTGGACTGAAGGGTCCCGGGCACATGCATGGGTTGCCGACTCAGTCTTGGGTGGGGGGCATGCAGGAGGCAGTTGATCGATGATTCCCATCATTGTTTCTATCTCCCTCTCCTCCCTCTGTCTCTGAAATCAATAAAAATGTATTTTAAAAAGAAAAGCTAGGAGTGGCTTTTTCCCTAGTCTTCATTTTCAAACCTTTTGTTGTAGCAAAATATGTAAAATTTGCTATTTTAACTATTTTTAGTTGTACAGTTTGGGGGTGTTCGGTACATTTCACATTGCTCTGCAACTATCACTACCATCTGTCTCCAGAATCGTGTTTTCTGTGTTTTGTTTTTTTTGTTAAACCTGTTTTCCCCATTTTTAAAATTTAATTTATTGGGGTGACATGGTTTCACAAAACCAAACAGGTTTCAAGTATATAACATAATAAATCATCATCTGCACACTGCATCCTGCAACCCCCCACCCCCGAGTTAGTTGTATTTACATGACATTAAACATTTCTAGATGTTGAAAGTAGCACTACAGCTCTTTAAAAAATTCACTGAAGCCCGGTGGTGTGGCTCAGTGGTTGAGCACTGACCTATGAACCAGGAGGTCATGGTTTGATTCCTGGTCAGGGCACATGTCCAGGTTTCAGCCTTGCGCCCCAGTAGAGGACATGCAGGAGGCAGCCAATCATAGATCCTCCTCATTGATGTTTCTCTCTCTCTCTCTCTCCCTCTCCCTCCACTGAAATCAATAAAAATAAAGATATTCACTAAATATATAATTAGTAGTTAAATATAAAATAAAGCAATTTTCATTGGTGATAATCTCACAGTACCAAATAATCTTATTTAATACTAACAATTACATCTTTAAAAATCCAGTTAAACATTGCAATTTACCTTGGTTGTGGGCACATCCCCAGTAGGGGGTGTGTAAGAGGCAGCTAGCTGATCGATGATTCTCTCATCAATGTTTCTAACTCTCTATCCCTCTCTCTTCCTCTCTATAAGAAAACTTTAAGAACCTTAAAAATTGAAGTATTAGTTTGTATATAAAATTAGGGTGTGATACAAACAAGAAATCTGTGGTTTCCAAATATTAAACTATTGAAGAAAATGATTGAGAAAGGTGAGGAACAATCCATTTAATGAAGATAAGTAACCTTTCAGGCATTAATGCCCTTCAAAAACTGTAACTTTCACTAGAAAAATCAGCTTATATGAATATCTGGGATTTAGATTTCTGAATGTCAATTATTTTTCCAATTGTACTGTCCCTTTAAAATAACCTCTTAAGAAATAATCCCAGAATTACCAATTTAAAATATTTTCCTTTCCTTGGTTATAATCATTTTATGAAAGAATATTTGAGATTAAAAGATAAAGTCACAGGGACTGGGAAGAGAAAGGAAAATAGGAGATATCTGTAATACTATCAACAATAAAAATATATTTAAAAGAATAGTCACTTGAATCTCATTAAGGACTGCCAATACTAATTTTATTTTTGCATTCTTTATGAATAAAAAGCAACAAATAACCATTTTCCTTTTCTTTTCCCACTCAGATTCTTTAATCCAACTTCAATGACCATTATTTCAGGAATGACTGAGTTTAAGTACATTGCCTAAAAGGTTTGTATTCACTTCCTAGATATTTTGTAGGAATTTATTTTATAAACTATCGTCAATTCTTGAAACATCTTAAGTAACCTACCTTTGGAAGGTTTATTCCTTTCATAAAAATGAGTACTTGGATAATCCATGCAGATGTGATATTTTTAATACTTCCTTAACATAAGGTAAAACAAGCAGGCCCCACTGAAAACATTTTAAATATCCATGGTAATTAATTACACAGGTATGGATCACATTCAGTATTTAGAGTATGACCAAGTTAACAAAATAAAATAAAAAAGACAAACAAACCAAAGTTAAGTTATGAATCAATACATCTTTGAAAAGCTTCTGCTGTTTATTTACTTCTGGACAAACAAGTGGGAAGGCCCATCAGAATAAACATAATTGAATTTTAATCACTATCCTTAAAATAGCCTAAGAGTTCTTCAAACACAGACATACTAAATTTGGATGCATTTGTAATAAATAGTTTAACAATTTATGTATCTTAGTAGAATCTTTTAATGGAATGTATTAAAACCAGTCATAATTCACTGCAAAGATAAATAGGAAAAAGAAAACAAACTTTTGAATGGCATGTTATAATGACCTGGACAAAACTGATTATCATCTAGTCATAGCACATGCAACAGATCGAGAAATTAAATTCTCGGCTATATATACTTTTTAAGTATTTTATCAGACACAAGAAAATGCAAAAGTTTCTACCAATCTCTGCCCATATTCAATTTCATTTAAAACAAAACAAAACAAAACAAAAAGATCTTTTTCTCCAGATATTCATGTTAATCAGTGCAAAGTGAAACAAAGCAATTCAGTAGAAATGATTTATTACAATATTATTTTAGGAGGATTCCTCAAATGTACTAAAAAATGTCTAAATCATGAGAATGATCAACCTCAATATCTTCCTCTACATCCAACTTAGTTTCTCCATGTCCCTCCTGTGATTCATCGAGAGAGGCCAAGGCTTCATTTGTGTCACTTGCAAAAGTTTCTCGTGATGTATCATCATCTTCTTGAAAATTCAGACTTTTAATGGCTTGCTTCATCTTTTTCCCCAACAGTTGTGTTCTCCTCTTCCTGGCAGCTTTTTTATTTTCATATTCCTTTTGATTTTCAACGTAGAAAATGTCCTAAATAGAGGCACAACTTTAGTAAATAAGAACTACCATGTATTAAAAGTATATTACAAGGCAGACCCTTTACATTATCTCCATTTCTCACAGAAAACAACAACAAAACAAGCCATTATTATTAGACTGACAATTGTATACAGAGTCCAAGATATTAATTAAGTTCCCACTGCAAGAAGATGATGAAGCTATGATTCAAACACAGCCTAGTGTTCACTCTATGGCCCATGCGTATTATACCATAATACATCATCTCTAAAGTTAAAGGGCTCTAACTGGAAACATACTGTAGAAAAACCATATTGTTTAGCATCTAAACGAAATATAATTCATCATGACGAAATTGAAGTCTTTGGAGTAAAGATTTACTTTGAAATACCATTATAGCCATATGCTAAGAAGCGGAGCCATTCCTGAATTGTGTGACTAAATATGATAATGTAACCTACACAATGCAAGAACAATTCCATTGTTTAAAAAAATATGACTGTAATTCACATGTGACAATGTAAATCTTAGTCAAAAACTTTGTCACAAAGCACAAAAATAATACAGCACTGGAATACATTCCAGGTAGAGTTTCTCAACCTTGACACTACTGAAATTTTGAGCTGGATAATTCTTTGTTGTGGCAGTCTATTGTATGTATTGTAGAACATTTAGCAGTACCTATGACTTTGTATTTTCTAAACCAAAAATTAAAAGTACTGCCCAACTGGTATGGCTCCATGATTAAGCATTGACCAATAAACCAGGAGGTCAATGTTCGATTCCATGCCCGAGTTGCTGGCTTGATTACCGTTGGGGTCATGCAGAAGGCAGCCAATGATTTTCAACATTGATGTTTCTCTCTCTCTCTCTCTCTCTCTCTCTCCTTTCCTCTCTGAAATACATGAATGAATGAATGAATGAATGAATGAATGAATGAATAAATATTAAAGGGGGGAAACAACACACTAATTCTCATAGAAGTTTAAAAAAAAAGTAGTCATATACAAAACAAAATCAAATGGAAACAAGGAAAGCAAGCCCACTCAGTTTAGTTCTGCTTCCAAGTTTTGCAGACTATGATTGTTAGCAATACAGAGATTAAAAGAATAATTATATCATCTGGATGGCATTTGAAATTACCCGCAATAAAATTCTATAAATTTGAAAAAAACACATAAAAATCTTAAAACCCAAAACTTTTATAATCCTTCACAATAGATTAAATCTTTGGTTGACATTTTGATGTTTTACATACCCATCTATTGTCCCATGACTCTTTTTTTTTTTTTTTAATAAATTTGTACTTTGCCTCTGTAAAACATTTAGTATTTTTGTACTATTTTCATTTCCTTAAAATTGCTTCACAAAAATAGAGGCTATAGCATAATCCCCTTTATATATATATATATATATATATATATATATATATATATATATATATATATATTTTTTATTGATTTCAGAGAAGAAGGGAAAGGGAGAAAGAGATAAAAACACCATGATGAGCTCTAATTGGTTTGGCTCAGTGGATAGAGGGTAGGGCCTGCAGACTGAAGGATCCCAGGTTTGATTCCATTAAAGACATGGACCTTGGTTGAGGGCACATCCTCCGTAGGGGGTGTGCAGGAGGTAGCTGATCAAAGTTTCTTTCATTGATGTTTCCAACTCTTTATCCCCCTCTGTAAAAAAATCAATAAAAATATATTTAAAACGAAAAAACACCAATGATGAGAATCTTTGATCAGCTGCCTCCGCACGCCCCCTACTGGGGATCGAGCCCAGAACCCAGGCATGTGCCTTTGACCGGAATCAAACCCAGGACCCTTTAGTTTGAAGGCTGACGCTCTATTCACTGAGCCAAAGCAGCTAGGGCTAGCATAATCGTTTTAAGAATGTTCCTATAACCTGGCCAAGGTGGCTCAATGGTTGAGTGTTGACCTATGAACCAGGATATCACCGTTTGAGTACCACTCTGGGCACATGCCGATGCAGGTTTGAGCCCCAGTGGGGGGTGTGCAGGAGGCAGCCAATCAATCATTCTCTCTCATCATTGATGTTTTTATCACTCCCTCTCCCTTCCTCTCTGAAATAAAAAAATAAAATGAATAAGAAGTCAACAATCCTGTTATTGGATATTCCAAATATTTCTATTGTTTGTTATTATAATTCAGTGTTTCTCGTAGTTTAACATTAAAAACGAACATTAAAATCCCCTTCTCTACAATGAGTTAGAATAATTATTTCAAGGGCATGTAATTCGGTGAAAACATAGGTTTGAAAAAAACATAGGTTTAAAGCCAGTCAGTGTCTGTGTGATCCCAGGCATATAATTTTTATTACTATTTATTTGCATAACAGGATAACACTCACTTTGATAGCCTGTGTAAAGATAAGGCCATATAAGTATCTGGTCCAATACCAAGCTAAGGATAAATAAATGCTCTTTTCTTTCTTGATTCTGCAAAGTCTGCCCAAGTATTAGGCACAGAAAGCTTTTCTAGATATTTTATTTAATCCTTTCATAGCCCTATTAAATAAGCAGAGCACATATTAAAGTCCCCACTTTATAGATGAGAAAATGGAGGCAAAGGGAGAATTGCTCATGGTTATATAATCACTAAATGGCATATTTAAGATTAAAACCTAGATTTTGAATCTTAGAGAATTCTATTCATTACATCATGCTGTTTCTCTGAAAAGACTAACATTTTGCTATCTAATGAAAACCCAAGAATTTCCTTCTAACTATACACTATTTGTCAGAGATTATATTGAGGGAGAAGAGAGAACATTAAGGTTTAAACTGCTCTACCATTCCTTAGGAAATTTACATTGTTACAAATTTATAGTATCAAAATAATTGTCCCAATAAGAAAGCATTTACTGACTAGAGATTTCAAATGTGCAACAATAGTAATTTCAATAACAGACCTTTAAAAAGTGACTTGGCCCTAACTGGTTTGGCTCAGTGGATAAAGTGTTGGCCTGTGGACTCAAGGGTCCCTGGTTTTGTTTTTAAAAAAATATATCTTATTGATTTTTTACAGAGAGGAAGAAAGAGGGATAGAGCTAGAAACATCGATGAGAGAGAAACATCGATCAGCTGCCTTTTGCACACCCCCTACTGGAGATGTACCCTCAACCAAGGTACATGCCCTTGACCGGAATCAAACCTGGGACCTTTCAGTCCGCGGGCAGACGCTCTATACACTGAGCCAAACCAGTTTTGGCAAGGGTCCCAGGTTTGATTCCAGTCAGGGGCATGTACCTCGGTTGCGAATACATTCCAGAGGGTGGGGATGGGGGAGGGGGGGTTGGAGGGGTGGACAGGGGTGTGTGTGCAGGAGGCAGCTGATCGATGTTTCTCTCTCATCGATGTTTCTCACATTCTATCCATCTCCCTTCCTCTCTGTAAGAAAATCAATAAAATATATTTTAAAAATAAAAAGTGACTCAGAAGTAACCAGGCAGAAAACCTAAGGAAAAACAACATGGAACAGATGCAAAATATGCTCACATCAGCTCAAGAAAAATGGCTCTTATTTATTCATCATTAGTATTATAATTAGTATGGCTACAACATATTCCTAGTTTATCACCCACTGTGGAAATAAAGAACTTCTCAAATATAGCAGGCATGGCCCAGCTAGCATGGCTCAGTGGTTGAGCATCGACCTGTGAACCAAGAGGTCACCGTTCGGTTCCCAGTCAGGGCATATGCCCAGGTTGTGGGCCTGTTCCCCAGTGTGTGGTGTGCTGGAGGAAGCTGATCAATGATTCTCTCATCATTGATGTTTCTGTCTCCCTCTGCCTTTCTCTCTGAACTCAATAAATCTAGTAAAAAATATATAGAGCAGCTATGTTGCATATAGACACATTTTTCCAATTTAAGTTAGACTCGAATGTATCTACTAAATGAAAATCATGTTCCTTAACAAAAGATATCAAATTTTGAGCAACGGCAAGAGCCAGTTTGGCTCAGTGGATGGAGCGTCGGCCTGCGGACTGAGGGGTCCCAGGTTCAATTCCGGTCAGGGGCATGTGCCTTGGTTGTGGGCACATCCCCAGTGGGGGGCGTGCGGAAGGCAGCTGATTGATGACTCTCTCTTGTCGATGTTCCTAGCTCTCTGTCTCTCTCCCTTCCTCTCTGTAAAAAATCAATTAAAATATATATTAAAAATTTTTTTTGAGCTACAAAACATCCACATTGTAAATTCCCATAGAAGACATTCTAGTGACACAAAAATGATTAAGAATACTGAAGTGGGGGCTGGTGCGGCCAGGCCCGGAGCAGCGGCTGCCAGGCTGGGAGCGGCCAGGCCCGGGGGAGCAGGCGGGGCTGGTGCGGCCAGGCCCGGAGCAGCGGCTGCCAGGCTGGGAGCGGCCAGGCCCGGGGGAGCAGGCGGGTCGGGTGCGGCCAGGCCCGGAGCAGCGGCTGCCAGGCTGGGAGCGGCCAGGCCCGGGGGAGCAGGCGGGGCTGGTGCGGCCAGGCCCGGAGCAGCGGCTGCCAGGCTGGGAGCGGCCAGGCCCGGGGGAGCAGGCGGGGCTGGTGCGGCCAGGCCCGGAGCAGCGGCTGCCAGGCTGGGAGCGGCCAGGCCCGGGGGAGCAGGCGGGGCTGGTGCGGCCAGGCCCGGAGCAGCGGCTGCCAGGCTGGGAGCGGCCAGGCCCGGGGGAGCAGCCGGGTCGGGTGCGGCCAGGCCCGGAGCAGCGGCGGCCAGGCTGGGAGCGGCCAGGCCCGGAGCAGCAGCAGCCAAGTCCAGAGCAACTAGGTTGGGAGCGGCAGTGACCAGACCCGGAGCAGCTGGTTGTGGAATGAACCAGAGCAACAGAGGCCAGGCCCTGAGCAGCCAGGCCCAGAACAGCTCGCTCCTTGCCTGCCCCTGCCCCACGGCTGCTTCTCAGACATGGCTGGAAACTTTCGTGGGAACTTGAGTGTCTGCTGAATCAAGTGATGAAGGCTTAGATCTGGATGTGTTGAGTTAGTTTAGGACTGGGGTGTTGATCTGTGAGTGCCTTGGGTGGGGCCTCGATGAGGCTGGTTGACCTAGTGGGAAATGTCTTTTGTGTGAAGTGTATCATTGGGCATGTGGAGGTATTATTGATATGAGAAAATGCTAAGTAACTGATTTACTATCTGAAAAGGGATTTACTATTGGGGAAATTGAGGGAAGAAGAGACTGAACATAAACTGCACCTATGGATGAGGACAATGGGGGATGGGGGGGGACGGAGGGTGGGGTGGGAACCTGGTGGAGGGGGGAAGAAATGAGGAACCTTTGTAATAATATGAACAATAAAGATTGCTAAAAAAAAAAAAAAAAAAAAAAAAAAAAAAGAATACTGAAGTGCCTAGCTTCTAGTTTATAAGAAATGTTAGAAGAGAGGAATGAACAAAACAAACCCATGAGGAGACAATCACCAAGAATGTACATTCTTTAAGACTCTTCAAAGGTCTAAATCATAGAGGGAAATGTGGGACTAAAAAGAACAAAAGATACAATAAAATGGAATGTGGAAATCTGGACATGATCCTGTTTTGGAGGGAAAAAAAGAGCTGAAAATAGATTCTTGGGACAATTCAGGAAATAGGAGTAGTCTAGAAGTTGGATGAAACTAAGAAATTGTTTTATTTTTCTTAGGTATGCCTATAGGATATTGTTTTTATTATTGAGAGAGGCCTGTTGAAGTAATTAGGGTTGGGTGTCATGATGTTACCAAGAAATTGTAAAGTACGATTGTTAAACTATCAACGACCCATGAATCTAGGTAGAGGATGTGGGATCCCTTAACACGACCCACATGGTTCAGGCCCACTTAAGAGTCCCGTTTCTGGAGAAGGCCGCACACTAAAATGAAGAAGCTAGAAAATAGTTAATTTGGGAAAATGGGGGCCAGACGGGAGTCTACCTCTTGGGGAGGACTACTCAGATGCTCTGGCCTTTTACCATTCCTTTTATTGAGATTCTGAGACAAAGACATCTCTTAGGTGGGAAATTCCAACAACAGAAAATCAACAAGAATTCACATATGATCAACAAATTAAAGTTGCCTCAACTACCACTATCTCAACTAGATGATTCAGAGCCATCAAGGTTGGCCAACTCTTTTTATATTTTACTACCAGGGAACAATGTTTGGTTTCCGGTTAGCCAGCTCTTTTTACATTTTACCACTGGTGACTCAACCTTGACAATGAGTTAATAGCTCCGGCCATTCAGAGCCATCAAGGTTGGCCAGCTCCCTTTACATATTATTACTAGTGTCAATGCTTGGTTTCCTGCAGAAGATATATGGGTATTCATTCTATTCTTTCATTTATTCTGCATGTTTAAAATTTTTCAATAATAGCTGCAGGAGGGTAGAAAATAATTACGTGCTAAGAAACCAGGAAAAGATGCCATAAAAGAAATCTTGATCTCGGTTCTGAAAGGGAAGAAAAAGAGGCAGAGCTTTACAAAAGGCACAGGTTTCACTTGAAATGAGAATATGACAAAATTGGTCAATTTAAGACAGAGCAAGTGATGAAGATTAGTAGGAAATGAAGTTAGGGCCCAGACAGCACGCTCAGTAGTTGAGTGTTGTTGACCTATGAATCAAGAGATCATAGCTTGATTCCCGGTCAGGGGGCACACTCCCTAGGTATGTGCTTGATCCCCTTTGGGGGCATGCAGGAGGTAGCCAATCAATGATTCTCATCACTGATATTTCTATCTCTTTCTTCTTCTCTGATATATATATATATATATATATATATATATATATATATATATATATATGTGTGTGTGTGTGTGTGTGTATATATATATGTGTGTGTGTGTGTGTGTGTGTGTGTGTGTGTGTGTGTGTGTGTGTGTATATATATATATATTTTATTTTTTTTTTAAATGAAGTTAAGAGGCTGAATAGAAGTCAAGGTATTATGAAAAATCAAGAACATTATCATTTTTACCTTAATTTGTTCCTCACTGATACTAGGAGTGTTTTTCAGGAGATTCAGGAAAACTCCACCTGGTGTTCTTCTTCGACTACCGTTCTAAAAAAGAAACAGAAAAAATATACTTTATAGACCCTTCTCAGGAATGGCCAAAGTATCTTGTCAACAGAGATGTGCCTAAGGAGACAATGAGGTCACCCTGATCACTCCAGCTTAACTGCAATGCCCTCCTTGCCTCTCTGTACCTACAATTTAAAAAAAAATATATTTTATTGATTTTTGTACAGAGTAGAAGGGAGGGAGAGAGAAAGTTCGAAACATCAATGAGAGAGAGTCATTGATCAGTTGCCTCTTGCACACCCACTACTGGGGATATGCCCGCAACCAAGGTACATGCCCTTAACCGGAATCGAACCTGGGGCCCTTCAGTCCCCGAGCCGACGCTCTATCCATTGAGCCAAACCGGTCCCGGCTCTGTACCTACATTTGATCTTTCTTTCCCCACAGCACTTATCACTGTCTAATATACTTAAAGATATTCTACTTACTTTCATAGTCTGCCTTCCTTCACTCCCCCACCCCCGCCAATACACTATAAGCTTCCTGTGCCTGGCACACAGTGATAAAAAGGAATGAATGCATCAAAAGAAAGTGAATTTGGCCGGACCGGTTTCGCTCAATGGATAGAGCGTCGGCTCGGGGACTGAAGGGCCCCAGGTTCGATTCCGGTCAAGGGCATGTACCTTGGTTGCGGGCATATCCCCAGTAGGGGGTGTGCAAGAGGCAGCTGATCGATGACTCTCTCTCATCGATGTTTCTAACTCTCTATCCCTCTCCCTTCCTCTCTGTACAAAATCAATAAAATATATTAAAAAAAAAAGAAAGTGAATTTGAACTTCTATCTTCCCAACATTCAGTAGATTTGCATTAGCTCGCTGGAATATAAAGTTTTATTACATTACTATAGAATTAAAACTTTAATGAACCTATAACTTTGTGCTCAACTAAATGAAAATCAAAGTACTTTAACAATGACACAAACAGAAGGGCCAGTACAGACTATTACAATTGGTTTTGGGTTTTACTTCAGTGATCTATGTTCACAGTCTGTTTCCTCAGCCAGTGCTATCAATTCTAATTGGTTTCCGCAGCATAATATTGATTTACTCTCTTGTGATGTTGTTATTCAAATTTCCGAGGAGTAAATAAGGAAGCCATTCAAACTTCATCCTCACCCAGAGGTGAAAGCTGAGTGACGTGAGATCTGCAAATCATTCATTCTATGGGATAAACTGGCGCTGCCTGGGATCTGGCCCAGCCAGAGAAGTGCTCTTGCTGCCGTTCTGAAAAGGTAAAGTGTTTCTCAGCTGTTTTTTTCCATAATTGTTTCCCCCACTGCAGGGAGCCTTTAGACATTTTCCTATTCACCCCACCACCCATGAAATTTTAATACTCACAGTTTCTATGTATCTATTGTGCATTTTACATTAACAAGGTTTTTCCTTTTGTCCCCAAGAACCAATTTTGAAGAATGCATGAATTAAACCAAAAGTAACACTTCTGTTCATCACTGCTAACTCAGTACTGGGCCCTGTTGATAGGCACCTCGTATGTATCATCTCATTTAATCCCATTTTACAGCTGAGGACACTGAGTCTCTGAGAAGTTAAACAACTTAGGCAAATCTCATACCTAGTAAGCTACAGACCCTGAACTCAAAACAATGAACCCCTTAATTCCAAAATCCATATTCTTAAAATTTGAGCTATGGGTTAGTATGTTGTCTGCACACTAACAGGCTACAATTTACATATTTTTTTCTAAGTATTAAAACTGACTATAGCCGGGACTGGTTTGGCTCAGTGGATAGAGCGTCGGCTTGCGGACTGAAAGGTCCCAGGTTCCTTCCAGTCAAGGGCATGTACCTTGGTTGCGGGCACATCCCCAGTTGGGAGTGTGCAAGAGGAGCTGGTCGATGTTTCTCTCTCATCAATGTTTCTAACTCTCTGTCCCTCTCAATTCCTCTCTGTGTAAAATCAATAAAATATATTTAAAAAACAAACAAACAAAAAAACTGACTATACTTGCTTTTTTATTCAGTTTTCATTGTTAACAACGTTTTTTAAAATCCCAAACCAATAACTTGTAAGCCAACAATCAGAGACAATTTAATTTTGTAAAAACATCATATTAAGCACAATTAAAAATGAAAACAATGAAGCTCTTAGTCTTACCATTATAAAAAGGCCACCATTTTGTTCTATTTCAGCAGTTTCCATCAGAAGTTCAATTGCCTTTTTGTTCCCAATAATACTCACTACTCGGGCTATCAGATCTTTCTTTGGTTCCTGCAACCTGATAAGGAACAAATAAAGTAATATTAACCTCTTTTATTTGTTATATAAAGTTAAAAAAATCTACCTTAGTCTCATTGAGTCGTCAACTAGAATTTAAGTCCTATTCTAATAACAATTACTTTTAAAAAATCTTCAATATTTAACTTTGAAATTGATGACCCGGAGACATTCCTATCTTGGGTAACCCAAAGAGTAGTAACCTCAAGATTTCATCTTAAGTTTCATAACTGGACTCTTCACTTCGCTTTATTGGGTTATGATGGGTTTCAAAGTAAACATGCACAGTGCTTGCTTAAGCAGCACATACATTAAAAATGGGAGATACAGAGATTAGCATGGCTTTTGTGCAAGGATGACAGGCAAATTCATGAAGCGTTCCATATTTTTTTACATTGATGTTTCTCTCCCTTCCTCTCTCCCAAATTAATAAAAACATTTATGTTAGCCGAAACTGGTTTGGCTCAGTGGTAGAGCGTCGGTCTGTGGACTGAAAGGTTCCGGGTTCGATTCCGGTCAGGGGCATGTACGTTAGTTGCGGGCACATCCCCAGTAGGGATTGTGCAAGGGACAGCTGGTCAATGTTTCTCTCTCATCGACTTTTCTAGCTCTCTATCTCTCTCCCTTCCTCTCTGTGGAAAATCAATAAAATATATCTAAAAAAAAAACACATTTATTTTAAAAGTAAATGTGCACATACACTGAGGGGAATGTAAGCCTAAAAGCAAAAGATAAGATCAGTTCACTTCTGTCAAAACAAATAACATATACTAGCTTTCAATTATTAAGACTGAAAGTTAGCTCTCCTAACTTTAGAGATATCTGGATAGGATTTTCTCCTCACAAGCTCCCCACTTCAGAACAAAAGTTATGGCTAATATTCAATGATGACTTATAGGATAAGCACAATCCTAAGAGCTTTATATGCATTATCTCAGTTAATTCTCTCAACAATCTTAAGAAAGAGGTAATATTACTTTCACTTTACCACTCAAAATTAAAAACACCAGGAATGTCCTAGCTAGCTAGCTGGTTTGGCTCAGTGGATAGAGTGTCAGCCTGCGGATTGAAGGGTCCCAGGTTCAACTCTGGTCAAGGGCAAATGCCCAGGTTGCAGACTTGATCCCCAGTAGGGGATCAATGATTCTCACTCATCATTGATGTTTCTATCCCTCTCCCTCTCTGAAATCAATAAAAATACATTTAAAACAAAAAACAACAACACCAGGAGCCTAAGTAACACTTGTAAAGTCAGAGCTCACTCTCTAGAGAAGAAGGAAGATTAATATTGCAGAAGTCTACCAGTTCCCTAATTAGGCCTGGCTTCCTGTTTCTCCTCAATAGGAGGCAAAGAGCACTGGACTAGGAAAAGGAAACCAGAGTTAATTCCAGGTCTGACACATAACATTTGTGACTTTGGGCAAGCCACGCAACTACTGGGCTTCAGTTTCCATATCCTACAAAGGGAAAATTTTGGTTTACAAAATCTAAGTTCCTTTCCAGCACTCAAATTCCATATTCCTCAGAAGTTTAAAAATCCAGTATTGACAGGCTTGCCTGGAAAATAAATGCTGTTTTCCTTCTAGCTATATTACTCTTGAATCATACTTGTTTTCAAATTTGTGACTGTTCATTAGTGATTACAACTTATGAAAGTTAAACAAAATTTGAAACATGCAATGTTAATTTGCATCAAGCAATTCTACTCTAAGGAATTTATCCAAGAGAAACGAAAATCATGTCCAAAGATCTGTATGTGAAAGTTCATAACTTTATTCAGAGTAGCCAAAAGGTGGAATAGCCATTCAATATAGATATATGTGTGTGTGTGTGTGTGTGTGTGTGTGTGTGTAATAAATAAAACATTAAACTAAGTAAAAGAACCCAGGCACAAGAGACCACACATTGTATAATTCTATTAATATGAAATGTCCATAAAATGCAAACTTATAACTACAGAAAGTGGATTAGCAATTATCTGGAGATGGGGACAGGGGTTATCTTTAAATAGGCATATGGATATGAGGGGGGTCTTATTGGAGTGATGGAAATGTTTTAAAAGTGGTTTATGGTGAGGGTCGTACAACTGATAAACTTACAAAAGTATTAACACATGATTGAAATGGGTACATTTTACTCTATGTACAATATGCCTGAATCATATAACAAGTCATGAATGCTTGAACACACTCAAACCCTCCCCATGATTTAAAAAGATTTTTTTTAATCTAAAGAGCTCTATGGAAAGAGCTGCTTATGAGTTCATAAAAGTTTGCAAAATTATTCTATCAATCTGTCCAAATTTAATAAACTACAAATATATTCACACAACCAAATAAGCCGAGTTCATTCCTTAAATTAAAAAAAATCTTTAAAAGGAACATTATCATTAATGTATTTGGAATCTACTTTATTTCCTATAAATGGTCAAGAGCTCATTGTATGAAAATTTTAATTGCTCACCTGAAAGTAATTTCATCAGCCACTCTCTCCTGAGAATCATCCTCTGTGATCTCATACCGGCCTTTATAGTTCATTTCCAGTCTGTCCCCCAGTCTGTCTTTGACAGGTCGTTTCCTTTTGAGATGACCTTGCCCATTTTCCTCTTCCTTTGGGCCTGTTTTCTTGCCATCTTGCATATATTCATCTAGCTCTTTGTCTAATTCTATTGTCTGTTCTTGAGACTCCCTCTTAAGTTTCTTAGCAAGCAAATAATTGTAAGCCTCGCATTGTCTGCTTTTGTCAATAGAGCCTTCCATTTCCAAGATACCAAGTTCATTGGCCACCGAATCTTGAGTCTGCTCCTGCAGCACAGCACCCCAGATGTTGTTAACCTTCTTCCCTCCACCAAAAGGTGGTTTCTGGCTACCCTGGCCAAATGGAAAAGGCTCTAGTTTGGGAGGAGGGTTGAAACACTTCTGTCGCTTGCGTTTCCATAGAGAGGTATCATCATCTGAATCAGAAAAACTCTCTTCACTGGAGTCTACGCCTTTAACAGTCCGATAATGTGACACTGGTGCATAGGCTGCTGCAGTGCCCTGGAAGGGCCTCACCGCACTGTCCCCAACTAGTGCTTTCTGGAAGAGAAAGGAAATAAATCAATTCCATGAAACACATCTACTCCACCCACCATGTGCTTTTTAAAGAAAAAAATTATTTAGGGATTCAGCTGGACCATTTTGAAGCAGAACTGATCTTCAAAAATATGAGAAACCAATTCAGTCCCTACTTTTCTAAAGGTCCATATGGAATTTCCAATTTTAAATTATTCTTTATAGAGCTAATGCAGAACTTAGTTCTAAGGCAATGGTTCTCAACCTTTCTTTTTTTTTTTTAAAATATATTTTATTGATTTTTTACAGAGAGGAAGGGAGAGGGATAGAGAATTAGAAACATCGATGATGAGAGAGAAACATCAATCAGCTGCCTCCTGCACACCCCCTACTGGGGACGTGGCCCGCAACCATTGTACAGGCTCTTGACCGGAATCGAACCTGGGACCTTTCAGTCCGCAGACCAATGCTCTATCCATTGAGCCAAACCAGTTTCGGCAGTTCTCAACCTTTCTAATTCCGCGACCCTTTAATACAGTTCCTCATGTTGTGGTAACCCCCCAACCATAAAATTATTTTTGTTGCTACTTCATAACTGTAATTTTTCTATTGTTATGAATCGTAATGTAAATATCTGTGTTTTCTGATTATTTAGTCACCCCACTGGTTAAGAACCACTGCTGTAGAGCTTAAGACCATCAGAAAACACAGATATTTGCATTATGATTTATTAACAGTAGCAAAATTACAGTTATGAAGTAGCAGCGAAAATAATGTTATGGTTGGGGGTCACCACCACACTGTATTAAAGGGTCGAGGCATTCTAGAAAGGTTGAGAACCACTGTTCTAAGGCCTCCTTCTAAAAAATTACCAAAGCCCTTCATTCTCACCTTTAGAAGATTTGCAATCTTTTCAGTTTTGTCAGAATGCTTAAAAATGATATACACACTAATTGTTACTAGTAGTTAAAAAGAGAATTTGTTTTCACTCTTTTAATATGTTCTTAATATCAAAGAGAGAAGGGAGAGGGAGAGAGAGAAGCAAATATCGATGAGAGAGAAACAGCAATCGGTTGCCTTCTGCACATCCCTCCCTGGGGATCCAGCCTGAAACCCAGCAGTTTCCCTGACCAGAATTGAACCAGTGACTTCCTGGTGCATGGGAGTTTGATCAACAAACTGAGCCACACCAGCCTGGCCAGAATTTGTTGTTTTCTTCCCAAAAATGCCTTTCATTCATTCAAACACTTCAACTTCCTTTTCAGTTTTGTGACTATACTTTTAGATTAGATAGTAAACTATGGGTAGGAATCCCAGACTTATTACTTTTAACCCACCCAGTGTGGCTCAGTGGTTGAACATTGACCTATGAACCAGGAAGTTACTGTTGGATTCCCAATGGGGCACATGTCCAGGTTGCAGGCTCAATCCCCTGTAGGGGTTGCCCAGGAGGCAGCTGATTAATGATTCTCTTGTATCACTGATGTTTCTATTTCTATCTCTCCCTCTTCCTTCCTCTCTCTGAAATTAATGAAATATATCAAAACAAAAAATGCAGAGCTCTGCCCTGGCCAGTGTGGCTCAATAGTTACAAATATTGGCCTACATACACCACAGGGTCGCAGTACCATCTCCCTCAAGGGCACCTACCTGGGTTACAGGTTCAGATCTCGCTCTGGTTGGGGCGCATGCAGGCAACCCACATATCCACGTTTCTCTGTCTTTCTCTCCCCACCCCACCCTCACCTTCCTCACTCCCACTCTCTAAAAAACAATGGAAAAAAACATCCTCCAGTGAGGATCAACAACAACAAAAATGTAGGGCCCACGGCGTTAAATTTGCCAAGTCATTGGTCAATCCGTAAAACCTGGAAGACATTGAAAAGCAAAAACCTCGGGCGTCATTTCAATGCAAAAGAATCACCTTTGCTTTTTGTACTGAATACTAAAGAAATATTTGTTTAACTATTATGTGCTAGAAATGGGGGGAAATTAGGCAATTTTCCTATCTTTTTCAAGTAAATTCTTAGTGATTTTTTTTTTTTTTAGAGAAAAGATAGACAGACATATATATATAGATAAAAGAGAGAAACACGATGAGGGAACGGAACCTCCACGGTCTGCCTCCTGCACGCCGCGGGCGGGGGACGGAGCCCGCAGCCTCACGCCGGCCGGGCATCTCCCTCTCCTGGAAACAATGGCAGCTGAGGCTTCTCAGGTGGCCGGCGCCCTGGATGCTGACAGCCCGGCCTCGGCGCACCGCTGCATCGCCAGCCCCGGACACGTGCACCGCTTAGGCTGATAACCAGCCCGGTCCCAGCCGGCGCCGAGGACCCAGCGGGCGGCCGGCACCGGGGCCGCTCGGAGCTGGCTGCTCGGCGCGGGGGCAGGACAGACCCGCTCCCAGAACCAGAACCGGGACCGGGACCGGGACCCGCAGCCATCGCCGCAGACAGCGGGGCCGTGGGAACAGGGAAGACCGGGCTGCGCCGGGGGTGATCCCGTTCCCCAGCCTCAGTCTCCCATCTGCTCCGCGGGAGAAGGAGCTCCACACGCTTTCGGGCCGCAGCCCCCCCGGGGCGGCCTAGCGGCGGCGAATGGCGGGTTTAGGGAGGACGAGCGGAGGGAAACGGCCTCCGGGAGGCCGCAGCCCGCGGTGCCTCCCGCAGCGGGAGCCGGCCCGGGGCGCAGGGCCGGCCGCCGCCCGCTCCGGCCCCGCGGCCCGGGCCCCGCGCGCCCGCCCTTCCCGCTCACCGGCACCGGCAGCGGCCGCTCGCAGGGCGCGATCGTCATGTCGGAATCCGAGTCGGAAAGCTGCCCATCTTCCATGTCGCCGGCGTCCAGCGCCATGTTCCCGCGGCTCGGCCGGCGCGGCGGTGGAGGGAGCACTTCCGGCGGCGGCGGGCGGGTCCGGCGGCGGCCTCTCGGGCGCCCCCGCGAGGGCCGCTCCCGCCGGCGGCCGGGGCGGGGAGCGGCGGGGGGATCGGGGGCCGGAGGGGAGGGAGGTTCGCTGGGAGCCTGCCCGGGGCAGACGGAGGGGCGTGATCCCTGCCAACTGCTCCCTGCGCTTCTCCGGGAAAACCGGTGCCCGCTGCCCCGCACTTCGGCGCGTTTTCCTCCGGCCGTGGGTTCCTGCCAGCCTAAGTGGGTGCGCGGGCAGCGGCCGTGGGGACTCCTCGTTGGCCTCACCCCTCACTTGGAGCCCCGGCAGGACGTCTGGCTTCCATCCTTGCTTCTGCGCAATCTACTTGTAGCTTCCAGGGAAGCCCTTACCTGAGGTCCCTGCCTTGCTCCGACCCCCCAGGGGCTCCCCTCCACACAGTGAGACCCGAGTCCTCTGCTTGGCCTGCAGGGCTGCCGGCCCGCGCCTCTGCTCCCTCTCCCCCTGCCCAGCCCCCAGCCCCCAGCCCCCAGCTCGCCTCTGCCCATCTCCCTCCCCCTGCCCAGCTCCCAGCCCCGGCACCCAGCCCCCAGCCCCCAGCTCCCGGACGCGGTGGCGCTGCTCGCGGCCCCCTTTGTTCTTCCCAGGCTCTAGGCCTTTGCAGTTGCTGTTCCCGCTGCCAGACAGACCCCTCCCAACACCCTGAAACCCCATTCTTTGCACGGGGTGTCGTCCCACGTGATTCAGGTTTCTGCTTGACTGCCATCTTCTCAGAGAGGCTTCTTCGACCACCTGAAATAGGAACCGCTAATATCACTCTTCAACCCTTTTTTTCTTCATGACTTCAGTAGTCAGATGTGTATTTGTTTTATTTTTTTTTTGTCTGAAATGTCTGTTTTATTCAGTGTTGTTTTTCCCTGTGTTCCACCCAGTGACTTCTTATATATAGATGATCAAGAAATAGTTATTGAATATTTTTATATAAAGGGGTTCTTATTATTTGTACCTTTTAGGATTGTGTAATTTGCTTTAAAAAATAAACAACATAGCAAGTTATTCTGGACACCGTTCTATAGCAAAGATCTGGTTCCCTTCTGATGACTCCCTACTATTCCATTGCATGGAGGCCCCATTATTTAGTCTCTGATAGTGCACATTTAGGCTATAGCCAGTTTTGCAACTAGCACGTATTTTTTTTTTTTTTTGCAAATTTGTTTTATTATTTCTTTAAGATACATTTCTAGACTATGTGAAAAAGATGAATATACACTTTTGAAATGTGAATTTAAGACATAAAGGAATTTTAGAAACCACTTGGTCCAATTTCTTATTTTGAGAAATGAGAGACTACATAGCTATTTTATGTTTTTTATTGAGTTTTTTTTTTTAAATAGAGCTATTTTTTAAAAATTTTATGATGTTGACATATTTTCTTTTATAAAGAAATTTTATTGATTTTAGAAAGGAAGGGAGAGTGATAGAAATATCAATGATGAGAAAGAATCATTGATCGCTCGCCTGCCTCCTGCACATCTCCTACCTGGGACTGAGCCCATAACCCAGGGATGTGCCCTAGACTGGCATGTATTCTTTTAGTCCCCAGGCTGGCTCTAGCCACTGAGCCAAACCAGCTAGAGATGAGTTAGCTTGTTTGTTTTTAATTTATTTAATTTTGCCAAACATAATTGGAATTTAGTAAGTAATTATAAGTCCAATAACAATTCTACAAAAATGCCAGACAATGCCAGAATTCCTTGAAAGCAACTAATACCATATTTTTCTTTTGCATAAAACATGCATTCACTGCCACAGGTTGGCCAAAATCGGTCTCTACAAGAAGAGACTGTCCCCCTCCTTTCTGCCCTCCCTTTCACTCTCTCTAAAAATCCATGAAGCTAAACCGGTTTGGCTCAGTGGGTAGAGCTGTCAGCCTGCGGACTGAAAGGTCCCACGTTTGATTCCAGTCAAGGGCATGTACCTTGGTTTCCGGCACATCCCGGTAGGGGGTGTGCAAGAGGCAGCTGATCAATGATTCTCATTGATGTTTCTCTCTATCCCTCTCCCTTCCTCTCTGTAAAGAAATCAATAAAATATATTTTAATATGTAAATAAATAAATAAAAATAAAAATCCATAGAAAAAAATATCCTCAAGTGAAGATTAACAAAAAACAACAACAAAAAGTAAGCAACTTTCTGATAGTTAAATCAAACATTTGAGAAGATACAAACTTTTAGGCCCAAACGGTCCACCACCTGTGAACCTTGCAGAGGGGGTGCAGAAATCCTACCTTGGAAGAGTTCCCAAGCTGAGAATTGTAAACAACTTCAAAGATGCCCTGAGCTTCCTAACCCCTTTTGTTACAAGGCCAGCCCCGGGCACACAAGCATCTCCTGTGGCCATAGACCTTCCAGCCTCGGGATCTGTAAATAGGAGGTGTGATGCAGAAAAACATGGGCTGGACCATTTCTTTGAGGCCTTGACTTTCTGTAGTTCTCACTCAGCTCATCCAGAGATCAGTGAGTACCCGTCTACATGGCTGCTGAACACACAGAGGAGTGTCAATAAACACTGTTGCCCCAAAGCCTCAAATGCTAGTAGTCACATACCTCAAAGGGTGTTCTCTATTGTCAGGGCAGACCTTGTTCCTCCAGAGGGAGAGAGCAACTCAGTGTTTATCCAAGGGTGTTTTCCACATAGTCTGAGGGGCTTTAAAGAGATTTCAAACCAACCGAAAGGACTTGCCCTCAAATATGGGGTTTTATACATTTCATGAGGTTCTTCAAAAGGGAAGAGTTGAATCCTGACTTCAGGTCTCCTAACTCTTAGACAACTTTATTGTTTTACCTTTCCTACATACACTTGCAATCCCCTAGTCGATTTGGCTTCAGTGGATAGAGCATAGGCCTGCAGACCAAAGGCTCCCAGGTTCAATTCCAGTCCGGGCCCTCAGGGCCCATGCAGAAGGCAACCAATTGACGTGTTTCTCTCACATAGATATTTCTCTCTGTCTTTCCCTCTCTCTAAAAAAGGTCAATGGAAAAATATCCTCAGGTGAGGATTAATGCACACAAAAACTTGCAATTTTCTTGGAATGGGTTTGTGTATGGTGTAATGTAGGAGTCAAATTTCATACTATAATCATCGTTTTACTGTGATATGGGATGCAACTAAATATCATATAAGGCATAGAACAGTCCTCCCACCCCTGAAATATTTTGTCCAGTGTTTTCCTCTAGAAGTTTTAGTTATTACCTTTAGGTCTATGGTCCATTCTGAGTTAATTATATAGTGCGAAGTAAAAGTCAAGCTTCTTTTTGTTTTTTTGTGTTGTTTTTTTTATTGTTTTAATGATTTATTTTTATCTCTATCAGGCACTCTCAGCTTCCGTGATTTTCTAAAGAGATATATATATATATATATATATATATATATATATATATATATTAATTAAATTATTATGTGATCGTTTTTTTTTTGCATGTGAATACCCAATTACTATAGCACCTTTTATTGAAAAGACTCATTTCTCTGATTGAATTTCCTTGATACTTTCACTGAAAATTGATTATATTTACAATGTCTATATCTGGGTTCTCCATTCAGTTCCATTTATTTTTGTTTGTTTGTTTATGTTTGTACATCCTAAGCCAAGAATATCTTTTCCATTGATTTTTAGAGAGAGTAGAAGGGAGGGGGAGAGACACATCGATTGGTTGCCTCCCACACATGCTCTGACCAAACCTGCAGCCGAAGCACATGTCCTGGGTTGGAATTGAACCCGAGACCCTGCCACCCTTCAATCTATGGGCCCACGTTCTAACCACTGAGCGACCAGCTAAAGCAGTTCCATTGATCTTTATCTTTATACCAATGTGAAGCTTTCTTGATTACTATAGCTTTATAATCATTGTAAAATTGTTATAATAAGTGTTAAAATTATGTACATTTGTTTTTCATTTTTCCAATTGTTTTGGCTGTTCTAGAATAGATCCTTTGCATTTCCATTTAAACTTTAGAATCTGCTAACCAGTTCTGGTATTTTGATTAGGATTGCTTTGAATCTATAAATTAATTCACACATTAGGGAGATTGCCTTAGCCTGATGCCATTACCCTCGCTGAAATCATTTATTATTTGTTGACAACTCTTCTGATTCCGGGCTCATTAAACAACCACATAGGTAGCTTGTATCCAGGAGGAGAAGGCAGTGATTGGAGGATGTGAATGGTTGGTTTTGTGAAGATAATTTTTCCTATGAAGTAATATGCCAGCATTCTAGTTGTAGCATCATTATTTATCAACTGGATTAATATCAGTCTGCCCAGAACAATAGTGTCACTCAACGCACGCTGTCACGGGTCAAGTTCCCAGTTTGCAATAACGAAATTGCATCCTGGGTTGTGATGATTTCTCCAATCTACTGCTGCGTTGGGGCAAGTGTAGATGTTCAGATTACATCTCTCTGCCTCCTGGCCAGCTATCTTTGAAGAACGAAGCCGGCCGAAACCAGTTTGGCTCAGTGGATAGAGCGTCGGCCTGCGGACTGAAAGGTCCCAGGTTCGATTCCAGTCAACGGCGTGTACCTTGGTTGCAGGCACATATATATATATATATTTCAGAGAGGAAGGGAGAGGGAGAGAGAGAGGAACATCAGTGATGAGACAGAATCATCAATCGGCTGCTTCCTGAACGGTCCCCACCCCACCAGAGATCAAGCCCGTAACCGGGGCGTGTGCCCTTGATCGGAATCAAACCTGGGACCCTTCAGTTCCCATGCCCCGAGCCAAACCAGCTAGGGCCACTCTGCATTGGACATGAAGGCCCGGTCGTCACCTTACAGCCTGAGAAGCCTGGCTCCAGTCTCCTGTGCTTGGGGAGCCAGCATTTCGCTGGGAAGCACGCCTCGCTGGGCTCGCGGTTCCCGGCACCTCTCACTAGATGGCAGTGCCCGGCTCGTTTTCTCCGGG